ATTTCCTGGCATCTAGGATAGCTCCTATTTAATTAACCTACCAAATAGCTGCCAGAGATATCTTTCTCAAATGCAAATTGGATTGAAAACTTTCTTATTCAAAACCATGCTGTAGTTCCCCAGATATTGCATGAAAAGGACCAACTTCTTTGCATGACACACAGGCTGGGTCTTGTCTCTTTGAATCATAATGCCATCTATCTCCTACTCCAACTCCTGTTCCTTGCTTGCCAGAAAAATTCAGGACATTTTCTGGGGCTTAGTTTTAATGTTGCCTCCTTGACCACACTGTTGTTTCTGTCCACTGCAATGCTGGCTCCATTCCTATTCAGCCTTTACTGGATTATGTGTTTCTGGGCACTTGCCACCTGTGCTGGGCCAAGGGCTCCCTGGGAAGCCAAGGCGCTTGGTTTATCTGGTGGAAGGCTGGGTAAGAGCTCAGCCAGCAAGTAACAGACCCTCACAAGATGCCAAATAATTCCCAAGATGTGGGGTCTGAGGGGCCTAAGCCTGGCCCTAGTACCTTAGACATCACTACTAGGTGGATCATTTTTGGCCAACCTAAATGTGGGCATGGAATCTGAAAACCTCCAGATGACTTTACTGAATTAATTTTTGTTGTTGTTGTTGCTGTAGTTTTTGGCTGGGACCAGGTTTGAACCCACCACCTCCAGTATATGGGGCTAGCACCCTACTCCTTGAGCCACAGGCACTGCCCTGAATTAATTACTTAATCATCTATCTTTCTGGATAGATATTAAACTTTAGGAAAATTACATCAAGTTCTATTAGCAATTTTATTACCTGTGCCTACCAGGCACCTAGAGAACATTTATGTAATGAATAAAAACATGACATTTGCACCCGCATCAGCACTTTTCACATGCCTCCATTCAAATCACATTTCTGTCACTTACCAGCTGAGTGACTTTGGGCAAGTCTCTATGCCTTTGTTTCCACTGCAAAATGGGGATAATAGGTGAGTTGTTATGAAGATTAAATGATTTAATATTTTAAAGGCATTTATAACAATGCCTGGTACATAGTAGATGCTTTATGTCTTCTAAATAAAAAAAAAAAGAGTTGCACAAACCAGTTGGCCCTTTATTATTTTCCAGTCTCATCTTCCCCTGACACTGGCCTTTGCCATCATTTCATATCCAACCCTCCTATACCTACATATTCCAGAAGTTTTCATATCTGTATACCTTTACACATGCTGCTGTCTGTGTGGAAGACCTTTTCTACTTTGTTCACCTATGAATCCCTTTTCATCCTTCACAATTCAACTCAATCTTCACTACTAAAAGTCTTCCTGGATTCTCAGAGACAGGGTAGCTTCTCCTTCCTTTGGCTTCATGTCATCTCACTTTTTGTGCATGTCTGTGCTCACCACTCACCAAAACTCTTTGAGAATAGGAATATACTGTATCTTCAGCACCTCAGTATTCCTTCCCACACCTAGAACAGTGCCTGCTACACAGTAGCCATAAAAGGTGTTTGTTGAATCAACAAATGGACAAGTGACATGAATTAATTATTCTGCCTTAACCACTTCTATAATACACTAGAATTTAAAAAAAAAAAAAACCGCTTTTTCTTTGGTTTGCTTTTTCAGAGATAGGGTCTCACTTTTTTGGCCAGGCATGAAAAGAGCAGTGGCCTCATCCCTGCAACTTCAAATTCCTGAGATCAAGTGATCCTCTTGCCTTAATCTCCTGAGTAGCTGGGACTACAGGTGTGTGTAACCATGGCCAGCTAATTTTTCTATTTTTCTATAGGGATGGGGTTTCACTATGTTGCTTAGGCTGGTCTTGAACTCCTGACCTCAAGCAGTCCTCTCACCTCAGCCTCCCAAAGTGGTAGGACTAAAATTTTTTTTTTTTT